TATGAATTTATGATGCATATTTTTCTATAATTTGTGCAAATTAATGCATATTTTGACCATTTTGCTTTACATATTTGCATCATATTAGCCACATTATTAGTGCATATAATTCCAGTCTCTAGTAATGAAGCAAATATACTTTTTTAAAGCAATGAAAAATTATTGTAATTGCTTGATACGTGAATTTCGTTGTTTAATAATATTATTATTACTGCAGTAAATTAGGTATTCTATAAATTAAACAAAAACTAATTATTTTAATTTAACGTTACGCGAAGAAACTTTTTTTTTCAATGCAGTCAGTTGAAGATTGTTAAGTAATGAACTTCGTTTGTAAATAACAACACATTAATTAATCAAACACTAATTTACTAATATGTATATTGTATACACACATGTGCTCCTATTGCGTAAATACGTTAATGTTTTATAAACAAACTTCAAAAAAGTCTACACAACGTATCATAACATTTCGAAACAAAATTAATTTTATTACCATTATATTTATTTTTATATGACATATTCTTTTCGTACTATTATTATTGTGTAAAAATTAAATTCGCAGTACAACAATTAGGTATGTAGGTACATTATTATTCATTAAAAGTGCCATCGTGTACTCGCTTATGTGACATTTTAGACATAATAATTTTAGTAGTCAATATTTACTTTTTTAATTATGTCATGTTAACGAATCAAAAACTATAATGTGACTGTACACATTTGATTTCTAAATAATTCACTCTCACATTAACTCCCGACAAATTTCAACTGTCTATGTTAATAACTTGTACCTACATATTATAATTTGACACTAGCGTTACCCAAGTACTGACCAATGACCATCATACCGAATAAAAACATAATAATAATATAATACTCTGTAGGTAAACAGAATGTACGTACCCAGCGGCACCTACTCGCAGTTATATCAATAATTACGAATATAAAAGATGATGACCATGACACGCCGATCTTCATCCATAGGATTGAACTAATTATGTTACTAAATCTCTAATAGTCATATTGACACACAAAACGATTAAAAAAAAAAAAAATATATCGATTTATAAAATATTTTTTTTTATTTTTACTATTCAATTTTCATTAAATCAGAGACACAAATCAAAACACTATTAGAATTAAACGAAAAAATCAATATTTAATCAATACTCAATATTACATACTATTTTATAGGTTACTAAATCGAAATTATAACAATTCATGAGATACAGAAATGTCCGTGTTATAAATTATAAGATATTGGTTAGTCCAAACATCTAGTAACTCAATGTATTTTAAACACGTTTTGTTGTAAACATTAACATGTATTCTAAACCTAAAAGAATTGTGTATGCCGCCGTGACTTCTTACTATACAACATACATTCGAATAGTTTTATCGCAGACCAACCGAATTTAAGGACCTAAGTGATAATATATTATAATAAATAATAATAAAATGAAATATGATAATAATATTAATTAATAATGACTATAAAACTATTAATATAAAGATAATATAATTATTGGACGCCGGCCTTAAATATTAATATTATAATTAGTTATTGCTAGGTATTTATAATCGCCCACACGCGTTGTATTAAAATTGCGTACATACTAAGTATTGCGTGCCATATTTTTTTTGTTTATTGAAATCACGTTCCTTCCTTTATGAAAATAACTATCACGTCAAAAACGTTATAACAACAGTTTTAATATGTTTCGTATTACTGTAATATTATTAACATTGTTTCTCAAAGAATCGTTTAAAACCGCTCTCGGTCCTCGTAGCCAGGGTACTTTCATTTCAACACGATATAGCCTATTATTGTATTCGAGTTCGTTCTATCGATTTATTTCCGTAAAAATCGTCAATATACCATTATAGTTAAGTATTACAATAAAATTATTCATTCGTGTATTATATATATATCCAATAACTGAAATAAAAATCGACTAAGTACTTTGTTATTGCCTTTTGGTACTTTGATTAACACCATACGTGGGTGGGTATTGTCGTATTGAATGAAAATTATGATCCAAACTTCGTATTTATTCTAGAGCGATTAAAACCGTCTTAGCGACTGATTAATAAAATGTACTAGTACCACTAATAACTAGGTACATCGTTTTCCAATATACATTACGGTCACTAACATAAATAACTCAATGACCGTGACATAATGCCAATAATGAGCGGCCAAACTTTATCGCACCCAGAGTCCTAGACCTACAGGACTTCAATGACGTTACAAAATTTAGCTTAGAACCCTCAAGCTCAGGAAAGTACTACACGTAAAAGTACTTAAGTTATTATTGACCACCCCTACCTACTGTAAACCTTTGGAAATTTGGCGTCTCGAAAAAATTACCGTCTACCCCTTTGTCCCCCCCCCCCCCCCACCTATCTATCAACCAATGATATTTAGACTACGTGCCTTTATTATAACACGCAGATTAAAAATAAACAAATGTTGCCATTTTAATCTTCTAGCAGTGTTATGACTTATGAATATACAACTAATATCATATTAATTATACTTCAAATTTTCGAAGCCCGTCTTTATTTTTATGTCTAAACTTATAATAGATTAGGTAATAGATAGATACCTCCGTGTTGTAGATACATTGATTGTGAACGTGAACAGTTGAAAATTAAAAAAATCTTAAATGTTTCATGTTTTATTCGTTTAATCCACAATCCACGAATGAAAAACAATTTAAATCTACATGTTTTGTTTTGCTCTTAAGCCACATAGGTATTCTTACTTCTCAGTGTATAACTGCATAGCGCGATTAATATATTGCCCGGTCAATGAAGTCTGTAATTATGAGTAAGTTTTAGCCGCCTATATTGTACATTAAAGTCATCAACCCAGTGCATATTATAGTATTATATTACAATTTACAATAATTTTTAGTGCAGGATGACCGGATGACATACGGACTATACGGAGAACTACCATCGTTGTGACGGTTTCCGTGACTTAACCACTCTAAACCGGAACGCGTAAAGATACGATGCATTAATTTAGTTGTATAAATGTTTAATACATATATATATATATTTATAAATAATAAATTATTTCATAATACCACAATCCACACTCAGAAATCCGTCTTCAACCTAATTGAATCCGATCAACCGGTTTAGAATCTGAGAGTTCAATAATCACTTTCGTCGACAGATGACGCTAGTGTATACGATTTTTATTTATATTTCAGAATTTTGTCCGTAATTTAGTTTCTTTTTAAATTCCGAGCCGACCAGTATATTCGATTTTTAACTTTGTTCTCTTTTATTTTTTCCACTTTAATTGATGAATTTAATGTACGAGAGTAACTCGAAAACAATCTAACAATCACTCAGTATCTCTTCCCAAAATGTTTAAAACAAAAAAATTATTTTCATAATCATCAATTACAATAAACTCTTCGCTTGCTAAATTGATTAGAAAACTAGATTTTTCTTGCTTCCAAGTAACTATTTTCATTGATTATGAATTCTAATTATAACTATAAATTTATTATTAAATTCATTAATCGTGATAATAAGACAAATAATTATATTTTCCATTGTAGATACTGTCAAGTTTTTAATTATATATGTACTTTTTGTAAAAACAAAATTAAAAAAATGTTTAAGCAACTGATAACTTAATTTTTTTTTTATTAATACTTCAATGCTATACATATTGTATTTTTTTTTATTAAGTAATTTTTTCAAAGTTTATTTATTAATTAATTACTAATTACAAATGTAATATATTACAAATGTAATCTTAATGATAACTTATAAAATAATAAATAATTACCTAAACATATTTGGCAGTGTTTGTATATTGTTCATGTATTAATGGTTAAAAGTTCATAATAGTAATAATAATACTGTATGCATAATACATAATAATTCTATTGGAAACATTCATAAACACAATGTATTTGTAAAATTAATAATATTTTATTTGGTTAAATACTAAGTGTAAAATGTATAAGTATATATATTTACACTTATTTTTTTTATTATAAAAGTAAAGAATAATATATTCAGCATAAATGTACATTACTACATTATTTTATAAGTAAATAAAAAATTAATTGACACTATTGGCATAATCAAATTGCCAACTAACAATTCAAAATATGAATTGACACACAAAAATGTGTTTATATAAAAAAATTATCAATATATAATTAATTTTAACATATAAAAAATCCTTAAAATTACATACATAAATAAAATCACAAAATTCGGACTAGGATCAGACATATTGTACTAAATAAATTCTACTTAATGATAACTATATAATTAGCTTTTTTTACACTGATTTATACAATAAGATGGTAACGTTTTTCAAATACATAATTGGCAAACACAGCCTACCAATATATTAGCAAAAACAACAATGATGTTACATATTTACTCCAGTTAATTGCAAAATATTAAATTCTCAAGTTTCAAAATTAACTACTGTATATACATTCTTGAGATAATATTTTAATTGCAATAAACTTATATTATTAAGTTATTATATTCAATAACTTATTAAATCAAAAATAGAAAAAATCTAAACTACATTGTTTAGTGAGTTAAAATAATTTAAGTAAAAAAAAAAAAAAAATTAGGCACATATTTTATGTTTGTTCATTATTACTTTTGTTCCCTATTTTTTATTGAAATAAAATCATTCAATTAAAAAATATTCATAAAATATTAAAAAATATATGAATGTACATTCGCAGAGCAATATAAATTCAGTTATTAGGTTTTTTAATCTATAGACTTGAGATTAACAAGTTAATCAATTTATTAAATAAATATTGGCAGGAAAAAAAAATATTGTCTATCACAATTAAAAATATGCTAAATACTTAAAAGGCTGTGTCTCAGCTTTTATTGTCTGTGTTAAACACATATGATTTAAAATATACTATAGCGACATTTGTAGAGGAGAATATTATGTAAGTTTCCATTTATAAGTAAAATTGTAAATCAACAAAAAAATAAAATAAATATATAAATAATTTTAATAACTTATGACTTAAATAAAAATAAAATGAAAAACTTAGTTTTATGATGTTGGACGTGTGTAAGGTAGAGACAGTAAATTATGGTACAGTATTTTCTTAAACTACAATACTAGGAACACTCAAAGAAAGTTGTACAATGCAATAATAATGAGAATAAATAAGTTTAATCTATGTATATAATTGGCCCCAGCTGTTGAATTGGGGTTAAACTCAAATACACTAACCGTCCTATTAAACAATGAACGTGGTTCAAAAAATAGTACATCAGAATATGCTGCATGTGAAGCATTGATGAACTGTTCATCGTGAGAGGTCATCATATCAAACACACACCAATCTAAATACTGATCAGTTAGTTTATGACCAGTGGGTCCAACACTGTTATGACATGAAGTCAACGCGCTATCTAATTCACTTATTGTTACTTGTTTAATATCTATTTGTTCAGAAAGAGGACAACCAGTAGAACATAATACATTCTTATCTTGATTAAATAATTGTGTTAATTGGTCTGGCAATTTAGCAGAAATGGATAAATATTTGCCAACACGGGTCACAGTTATAATTGTAGAAATATACGATAATCTTATGATTACTGTCTCACTGTTGGGATCATTGGAACGCCATGAAAGAGAAACAGTTGGCGATGAAGCTGGTCCAGATGAAGTAGTGCCATCTTCAAATACACTCAATAACTGATTATCTCCTTGTGCTTCATACAATTTTTGTAGTGTACACTCAGGTTTATGTGATTTTAATATAACTGTCAACTAAAAAATTAAAAAATTATGATTAAAAAATTTTTTCTGAGTATAAAAAATATTAATTAAATACCTTAGTTGGAGCTGTGGCTGTTGTGCTATTTACAACAGCATCATTGGTTACCATGATTCCAAAAAATGGATTCTCAATCACTTGCCAAGCTCCATGAATTCGACAAGTTTGATACCTTCCATCGAATGTCCTCAAGTGAGGATCGCCAAATAAGCCACAAAAACGGTGTTCTTTTTTATCATCAAATAGTACTGGACAAGAAGGTCCATTGTGAGTTGATTGAGCTATTTGGGAATGTTCACTATCATTTCTGGAAAAATCGTCATGACTAGTGCATGATTTTTTGAACTCTGAGTTTGATACTGTAACAGCTGAATGATATCCAATGTCGCCACGGCATTTTTTTGATAATGATTTCATACACTTAATGTATACATCTAAATCTCTACAATGATTTTCCTTACTATTAGGCAAAATGCACGTATCTTGAGGACATGGTACTGGAACACAGGTGCACACTAAAAAAAAAATGTATATTATTCATTTGATTTGACATAACAAATAAAAATATGAAAACTGATAGTTAAATTAAAATAAACAATATAAGATAAACATTATACATGCTAATCTGTTCAATTTAAATATTTATAAACCAGTATTTAGCATATTAACATTTAGGAATCATTTATCAAGTTCATTTCATTAGATGACTTTAAGTAGGAAGTAAATACCTATATGTTTTAAATGGTTATGTGCAAGAGTTAAATGGAATAGTACTAATATTGTTTTCTTATTATTATCAACGTAGTATAATTTATAGGTACTATGAAAACGCCAGAAAACACAATAAATAAATCACTGATAAACATTTACATTCAACAGCACTGTGCTGATGTAAACTAAACCAGCACCTAACGTAAACAAATACTAATTTATATAGTCACTGTTATATTAGCATGTATACATTTACATTTTTATTGGGTTAATTTAATAAATAAATATCTGGGATTTGAATGGATCGAGTAAAAACATAAATTTAACCGGTCATACTCAGAGACAACTACCGAGTGTTGGTGTTTAATAAATACTAAGTAAAAGGTAATACACTTAATAAGATTAATTAAAATAACAAATCAACATTTTCAAAACTCTTACCTGCAATAACAGTGGCCCATATCGTCCAAACGCGGTGAATGAGATTTGAGACGAGCATTTTTCAGGATTGTATAATACACAAACGACCAACTACGTCACCATGTCTTCATGCCAAAACTGTAAAAATACATAGGGTTGAGAAAACATACTTAACTATTGTGAACAATAATACAGGAAGGAAGTCTCTGACGGATTAATGGACGACAGAGGCCGTCAACTACTGCGTTGTATCGTGGCACCGGTAGGCACGTCAGAGCAACGACACAGTCAGACGATCGTGCTGACGAGACGTCAGAGTGGACAATACTGTTTATTGTACAACCATCGTAACAGTACTGTCCGAGAACAGCGGATGAAAATCGTCGGGTTCCGAGGTAGAACCACGCACGGAGACGATGGATTAAAAGTAAAAGATAAATAATGGGTGACACAATAACATCATTATATTAACAGGCGCGTACACCTGCACACGCGTATAACATATCATTTTATTCAATATTATACGCATAAACATTCACACTTATAATAATAATAATAATAATAATGGGTAATGGTTTGATATCGTAATGAATCAATTACTAACAGTTATGCACGTTATGCAGATTAATAAATTAAATATGTCAAGACAATACTAGTGATCAAACATTATAAATTGAACTATCTGTCATATGAACCATTTTTAAATATCATCACGACATTTTTCCATGGCATTTTTAATATATGAAAATATCGAACCAGTTTGTCACCAATGTCTATAGGTTTTGTCCTTCAGGCTACTGCTGGTTAAATGTGATCTAATTTTAATCTATAGTTGGTACTTATCTAAAAGAAGCTTATATTGCTCAAGATTATAACGATGGAAAATATAAAATTCACCGGTCTTATGAATGGGGTACAGCAACAATAAGTCAATTCTGGTAAATCAGTAAACAGAATGACGAATGCTTTGATGAAGATCGTGTTACATATTATTGTCAGAGCTAATATGTTGTGTTGCACAGGTTATTATACTATAATAGAGCTCGTGTCAGGTTCAGCCAATAGGTTCACATTTACAATACCAGATGGATAGTTTAAAACATTTTCAGCTGTAATAATAAATTGAATTTCGATATTTGGTATGTTGTAGTTGTTCGACAGTTTTGCAGTTCAGATGTACCCATGCAGACGGTTTATTCTTGCATGAGGATGCGGAAAGATGTACTGAGTTCAATCAGGAAAAGTGTACCACGGCAATTATGAATTGAGCCGTATGGAAAGTAAAAGACATAGCGTCAATAGGTGGTAGGTCCACCGATATTGAATTTATCAGTTTCAAAACTATTCAATTATAGGTTGTGAACAATAGCATAATGAGTTACCACAACTGTTGTTTACTGCAGGTTCAGATATAAGGAGCGAGCTGGGGCTATTGGCGGGCAAATCCAATGAATATTGTTTACATATACAATTATGTACTTAATAAAGTGCAGCTTCAGTTTCTGCATCATATTTATGTACAGTTTCGCGCAGATGATACCGTCAGGTACGAACATCAGAGGCTTATTGAAGTCAAATGGCGAGTGGCAATTCGTACTTCAGTGATGATCGTCAGGAAAACACTTGTAATTAATTATATAAAAGACACTATATATCATATTAGAAGGCGTTAATATTTCAACATGAAGGGAGAGCCCAGCAGTCAGTCACCACATGCTAGGTATGTAATATTTTCAAAGGAATGACTTTTCCAATATTTTTAAGTAGTATAAACAGGTGCTGTTTGTTTAGTATTGAGCTGTTGCTTGGTATGCATTAACGGCTATAATGATGGTTTCAGGTAATCAACAAACAAATAAAATGTACGTAATTAACATATTAGTCATGTTCTATGCCACGGTTATTATTAACGTATTTTGTTTAACAAACTGACGTCTGCCTTGTATGATGAACGCAGATTGTTACAAGATGTTGATGTCAACGAATTAATTGGTCATCAGGTCACGACAGGCACACGCAAGTCATGAAGTCGCACATGCATAATATAGTACATAATAGATGCATGTTTGTTGTGTTGTGCAGGTTATCAATAAGGTGCCAAAATTACCAGTTAAAGCAACAATAAAATCATAATTATTACAGCGGTTGTTGCTGTTAGCATATTAACCTCGTACCTTATAATGTTATATTATTATTGATAAGCCCGTGGCGCACATTGCTTAACATAACAATGCATGGGCTTGTCTCGGCGTGGGCATTTCATTTATCGCGTATGATGAACAGATGCGAGCCATCGGCAAATAAGTTGCCAGGTAATATCAGCCATGTTATTACATATTGATATAGTGCAGCTTTTGACACGAATGCGCGTGATTAAAATAAAAATAAATAAAATAGCCGTTCATGTTACGCAACATAATATCAAGGCTAAGTACGTTTATCGGAAAAATATTGAAGATATTATATTCATAATAATCAGTTAGCCGTCGAGGACCCCAATATTTTGGTTTTTCGATGAATGTCTTACATGCCTGCATAACACTATTATGAAGGTAACGTCGCAGGACAAACATGGTAGCCACGGTAACGGCCGTCCATTTCCGTCATTAGCTGAGTTATCAGTATTATTATTATTATTATTATTGTATTACGTAGTCTCCGCATTTTATTATTATTGTTTTTCGTCTTCCGGTCGAGCCGAAATTTATTGTGACATGACACGGTTTTCGTCATAACGATATCACATAATATATCGCAAGACATGGTCATCACGACAGGCTGGTAGTGACTTTCTCGTCCATAAACCGGTCATTGTTCAGGGTTTTTAAATACCTGGTTATTATGAAAGTCATGGCGGCTTGGCACGCTTGAGCAGGTGCTCAGGGGCATATCAGTTTCGTTGCGAACATGGCGACGGCGCCGAAACGGAATGCAGCTGGAGAGCTCGTACCAATAAAGGTGTCGACACGAACGGGTCGTCGAACATTGTGTGCCGATCTGCTCGGGACGAGTATTGCAATCGGTGCGATTACGAACGCATGGCTAACATTTGTCCGGCGATAGTGCCGACGCCCAGCGCACATGATAATGAAATAGTTAATATTGCATGCTAATGGTTGTTATGGATGTTTATCGTGATAGTCATGCAGAGACAAATAGAAAAATCGTTGTTCATCTATCGTGTTGATAGTACGAATTGGCGAGTATTAATATTATTGTAAAGAGGAATATATAACATATATATATAGGAGAGCAGACGCATGCAGCACGCGCGCGTTCGGTCCCAGCACGTGCCGTCGTGATCTTCCGCGCGCGGCTGCCAACCCCCTGGCCCCTCACCCCGGCCCCGCGCCGCAACGCGTAT